TTGTAGTCTTCTGTTGTGGGTCCACAAGCCTTACTTGGACATACCCTATATCTCTATGGTGACTGGTTGAGAGAACGCTCTAGGACTTACCCTGTACTTCTATGGGGACAGGTTTGGAGGAGGACTTACCCTGTACTTCTATGGTGATTGGTTTGGAGAACGCTCTAGGACTTACCCTGTACTTCTATGGGGACTGGTTTGGAGGAGGACTTAACCTGCACTTCTAAGGTGACTGTTTGAGAGGACACTCTCAGACTTATCTTGTATTATAGGGTGACTGGTTTGAAAAACACTGCAGGACTTACCCTGTACTTCTATGGTGACTGGTTTGGAGGAGGACTTACCCTGTACTTCTATGGTGACTGGTTTGGAGAACGCTCTAGGACTTACCCTGTACTTCTATGGGGACTGGTTTGGAGAACGCTCTAGGACTTACCCTGTACTTCTATGGTGACTGGTTTGGAGAACGCTCTAGGACTTATCCTGAACTTCTATGGGGACTGGTTTAGAGGAGGACTTACCCTGTACTTCTATGGTGACTGGTTTGGAGAACGCTCTAGGACTTATCCTGAACTTCTATGGGGACTGGTTTAGAGGAGGACTTACCCTGTACTTCTATGGAGACTGGTTTGGAGAAGGCGATCCCGAAGCTGTTCTTGGCCACACAGCGGTACTGTCCTGCGTCTTCCTTCTTGATGTTATGGATCTTCAGAGCGCCGTAATCCAGAATCGTGATCCGATCACTCACCTGTTCAGAGTATTGATTATGAGAGTGAATTGTGTGTCTGAGATCAAAAGCTGTTATCTCTATTCTGTTGGAGGCTTCTGTTTGGGAGATCCCCTTGGTTCCTGTATCAATTCAATGGGTTGCGTAGTCTAGCACCTCCTATTGGTCTGTCAGAATTGTCATTATTTGAATTTCTATTTGAAAATAATAGGTACCGTTATAAGAGCATCGTCTTTGATCCAGGAGATGTCTGGTTTGGGGTTTCCTAGCGTCACACAGGGCAACACGGCCTTGGATTCAATCAGGAACGTCATGTTGGTGGGGTGTCTTTTTATCTGAGGCTCTGGAAGAAGAACATAGTTGCTGATTAATCATTTTACCTAATACTGTTTGGATGAGAACAATCTGAAGCATTGAAGGCAGCTTAGTTCACTGGCGTAAAATCAGCAAGCTTGACATACTGAAGAGTTCACACCAGTGTGATTGACAAGAACAATCAGATTGAGCAAGACTCTGTTAAACATACTTCAAACTCATGATCATTGGTCAATTCTCGCCTAGCAAAGTGATCAGTTGAAATATGTGAGACTCCCTGGTTTAGACTTTAGAGGTCCTGTGCAGGCTATTATTAGAAATCTAGAACAATCTCTTCTAGAACACTGTATGGAACAGAGGAACAGTTTGAACAAACACATCAGGTCGAGTCTCAAATGACACCCTATTCCCTATATAGAGGACTACTGTTAACCCCCTATTTTGTATTTTGTTGTGCATATTTCCCCCTATAGTTGACGTCCGTGCCTCTGCGGCAATCTAATTAGCTTTATAAAAAAATCCCCATCAAAATCTGTCTGTTTAAGCTAGAGATATCTTTTTTGTTGTTGTTGCATGAGCAGTGTCTCAATCCATTGGCGGATATGGTGTGACAAATAACATGTGAGTACTCTAGTGCCCACATTTTTTTAATCAGAGCACTACTTTGGTTAATAGAGTGCCATTGGGGACTCTAGAGATATCTGTTCTAACCAGGGACCCTCTGAACACTCTAGAGATATCTGTTCTAACCAGGGACCCTCTGAACACTCTAGAGATATCTGTTCTAACCAGGTACCCTCTGAACACTCTAGAGATATCTGTTCTAACCAGGGACCCTCTGAACACTCTAGAGATATCTGTTCTAACCAGGTACCCTCTGAACACTCTAGAGATATCTGTTCTAAACCAGGGACCCTCTGAACACTCTAGAGATATCTGTTCTAACCAGGTACCCTCTGAACACTCTAGAGATATCTGTTCTAACCAGGGACCCTCTGAACACTCTAGAGATATCTGTTCTAACCAGGTACCCTCTGAACACTCTAGAGATATCTGTTCTAACCAGGGACCCTCTGAACACTCTAGAGATATCTGTTCTAACCAGGTACCCTCTGAACACTCTAGAGATATCTGTTCTAACCAGGTACCCTCTGAACACTCTAGAGATATCTGTTCTAACCAGGTACCCTCTGAACACTCTAGAGATATCTGTTCTAACCAGGGACCCTCTGAACACTCTAGAGATATCTGTTCTAACCAGGTACCCTCTGAACACTCTAGAGATATCTGTTCTAACCCGGTACCCTCTGAACACTCTAGAGATATCTGTTCTAACCAGGTACCCTCTGAACACTCTAGAGATATCTGTTCTAACCAGGTACCCTCTGAACACTCTAGAGATATCTGTTCTAACCAGGTACCCTCTGAACACTCTAGAGATATCTGTTCTAACCAGGTACCCTCTGAACACTCTAGAGATATCTGTTCTAACCAGGTACCCTCTGAACACTCTAGAGATATCTGTTCTAACCAGGTACCCTCTGAACACTCTAGAGATATCTGTTCTAACCAGGTACCCTCTGAACACTCTAGAGATATCTGTTCTAACCAGGTACCCTCTGAACACTCTAGAGATATCTGTTCTAAACCAGGTACCCTCTGAACACTCTAGAGATATCTGTTCTAACCAGGTACCCTCTGAACACTCTAGAGATATCTGTTCTAACCAGGTACCCTCTGAACACTCTAGAGATATCTGTTCTAACCAGGGACCCTCTGAACACTCTAGAGATATCTGTTCTAACCAGGTACCCTCTGAACACTCTAGAGATATCTGTTCTAACCAGGTACCCTCTGAACACTCTAGAGATATCTGTTCTAACCAGGTACCCTCTGAACACTCTAGAGATATCTGTTCTAACCAGGTACCCTCTGAACACTCTAGAGATATCTGTTCTAACCAGGTACCCTCTGAACACTCTAGAGATATCTGTTCTAACCAGGTACCTCTGAACACTCTAGAGATATCTGTTCTAACAGGTACCCTCTGAACACTCTAGAGATATCTGTTCTAACCAGGTACCCTGAACACTCTAGAGATATGGTGTTCTAACCAGGTACCCTCTGAACACTCTAGAGATATCTGTTCTAACCAGGTACCCTCTGAACACTCTAGAGATATCTGTTCTAACCCAGGTACCCTCTGAACACTCTAGAGATATCTGTTCTAACCAGGTACCCTCTGAACACTCTAGAGATATCTGTTCTAACCAGGTACCCTCGGAACACTCTAGAGATATCTGTTCTAACCAGGGACCCTCTGAACACTCTAGAGATATCTGTTCTAACCAGGTACCCTCTGAACACTCTAGAGATATCTGTTCTAACCAGGTACCCTCTGAACACTCTAGAGGATATCTGTTCTAAACCAGGTACCCTCTGAACACCTAGAGATATCTGTTCTAACCAGGTACCCTCTGAACACTCTAGAGAATATCTGTTCTAACCAGGTACCCCTCTGAACACTCTAGAGATATCTGTCTAACCAGGTACCCTCTGAACACTCTAGAGATATCTGTTCTAACCAGGTACCCTCTGAACACTCTAGAGATATCTGTTCTAACCAGGTACCCTCTGAACACTCTAGAGATATCTGTTCTAACCAGGTACCCTCTGAACACTCTAGAGATATCTGTTCTAACCAGGTACCCTCTGAACAATCTAGAGATATCTGTTCTAACCAGTACCCTCTGAACCTCTAGAGATATCTGTTCTAACCAGGTACCCTCTGAACACTCTAGAGATATCTGTTCTAACCAGGTACCCTCTGAACACTCTAGAGATATCTGTTTCTAACCAGGTACCCTCTGAACACTCTAGAGATATCTGTTCTAACCAGGTACCCTCTGAACACTCTAGAGATATCTGTTCTAACCAGGTACCCTCTGAACAACTCTAGAGATATCTGTTCTAACCAGGTACCCTCTGAACACTCTAGAGATATCTGTTCTAACCAGGTACCCTCTGAACACTCTAGAGATATCTGTTCTAACCAGGTACCCTCTGAACACTCTAGAGATATCTGTTCTAACCAGGGACCCTCTAGAGATATCTGTTCTAACCAGGGACCCTCTGAACACTCTAGAGATATCTGTTCTAACCAGGTACCCTCTGAACACTCTAGAGATATCTGTTCTAACCAGGGACCCTCTGAACACTCTAGAGATATCTGTTTCTAACCAGGTACCCTCTGAACACTCTAGAGATATCTGTTCTAACCAGGTACCCTCTGAAACACTCTAGAGATACTGTTCTAACCAGGTACCCTCTGAACACTCTAGAGATATCTGTTCTAACCAGGTACCCTCTGAACACTCTAGAGATATCTGTTCTAACCAGGACCCTCTGAACACTCTAGAGATATCTGTTCTAACCAGGTACCCTCTGAACACTCTAGAGATATCTGTTCTAACCAGGTACCCTCTGAACACTCTAGAGATATCTGTTCTAACCAGGTACCCTCTGAACACTCTAGAGATATCTGTTCTAACCAGGTACCCTCTGAACACTCTAGAGATATCTGTTCTAACCAGGTACCCTCTGAACACTCTAGAGATATCTGTTCTAACCAGGTACCCTCTGAACCACTCTAGAGATATCTGTTCTAACCAGGTACCCTCTGAACACTCTAGAGATATCTGTTCTAACCAGGTACCCTCTGAACACTCTAGAGATATCTGTTCTAACCAGGTACCCTCTGAACACTCTAGAGATATCTGTTCTAACCAGGTACCCTCTGAACACTCTAGAGATATCTGTTCTAACCAGGTACCCTCTGAACACATCTAGAGATATCTGTTCTAACCAGGTACCCTCTGAACACATCGACAACAGTCACCCACGAAGCAGCGTTACCCAGAACACTGGACCCCTTGGGACATGTGGAAGAAGCGCACATACTCATTTTAAGCTGCAAGGCTCCGCAGCTCTTGGCCGGCTCTCCGATGCCATTGTTAGCAACACAGCAGTACTCCCCGTTATCAGAATCTCTGACGTTCGGGATCAACAGCATCTGGCCATTCTCCCTGGTAGTGTAGCGGGAGTCATAGTATCTGGATCAAACAGGAAACAGAATCATAGTATCTGGATAAAACAGGAAACAGAATCATAGTATCTGGATAAAACAGGAAACAGAATCATAGTATCTGGATAAAACAGGAAACAGAATCATAGTATCTGGATAAAACAGGAAACAGAATCATAGTATCTGGAGAGCATTAGGGAATGAATAGACATTAACCATTGTAATCATAGTCATAGTATCTGGATAAAACTGAGACATAAAGCTGTGACCTGAACGAATTAAACTTCTCTAAAACTCACCAAAAGCCTCTGTAATGACCGATCATACAATTTCAAGTCTGTTTAAATGACTCAAATGTACCAGACAAGGTTGTCTAATGTTGTCAATTTTGTTGAATGCTCTTACGGGATTGGGTGGTTATTCCGCGTCCACGTGATATCAGCTGGCGGTCGGGAGTCGACTTCACAGATGAACGTGGCGTTGTGATCCAACAGGATGTCCAAGGTCTCCAGCAGGGTCGTGATGCGAGGAGCTGTGGACGGAACACAAGACATTAAGCTACATTAAGTAACATTTCATTGCTCTGTCTGACATGACATTACTCTGTCTTACATGACATTACTCTGTCTGACATGACATTACTCTGTCTGACATGGCATTACTCTGTCTGACATGGCATTACTCCGTCTCCAGCAGGGTCGTGCGCGTGGCTGTTTAAATTGGTTAAATTCCATTGCATTTGCATATCACTTTTACTGTTTAGGAGCCTTGGGCAGAAGAGCTTATAACGACTGCAATGATGGTAGCTAGATATCTCCTCTGTACCCTACTATCTCCTCTGTACCCTACTATCTCCTATGTACCCTACTATCTCCTCTGTACCCTACTATCTCCTCTGTACCCTACTATCTCCTCTGTACCCTACTATCTCCTCTGTACCCTACTATTTCCTCTGTACCCTACTATCTCCTCTGTACCCTACTATCTCCTCTATACAATGATGCCACACTCACAGCTGGATGCAGCGTTCTAGCCAAATGTTTCCCAGTCATTCTGTAACAGTCTTGCTTCTGTCCCTCTCCTCGCCCCAACCTTGGTTCTAACCAGGTACCCTCTGAACACATCGACAACAGTCACCCACGAAGCAGCGTTACCTTTCGCTCCACAAAAGCCACAGCACTTGCAGAGCAAGGGACACAACTACTTCAAGGTCTCAGAGTGAGTGACGTCACTGATTGAAACGTTACTAGTGCGCACCGCTAACTAGCTAGCCATTTCACACCAGTTATCATTGCATTGACACAATCCCATTTGGCCAACACAGACGGTTCACATTTGGCCAACACAGACGGTTCCCATTTGGCCAACACAGACGGTTCCCATTTGGCCAACACAGACGGTTCACATTTGGCCAACACAGACGGTTCACATTTGGCCAACACAGACGGTTCACATTTGGCCAACACAGACAGTTCACATTTGGCCAACACAGACGGTTCACATTTGGCCAACACAGACAGTTCACATTTGGCCAACACAGACGGTTCACATTTGGCCAACACAGACGGTTCACATTTGGCCAACACAGACGGTTCACATTTGGCCAACACAGACGGTTCACATTTGGCCAACACAGACAGTTCACATTTGGCCAACACAGACGGTTCACATTTGGCCAACACAGACGGTTCACATTTGGCTCACAGAGACTGTTGTCAATGGGTCAAAATATAGCCTTGGCCTACCATTGGTGCTGCATTGTAGGACTGAATCATTTAAATATCTTTAGTGGAGGTGTGTTTCTTTAGTAACTGGATGTGAGGATGGGGATTGATACTTGAACAAGCTAAATGTAGTATGCAGATCGGACGCATTGCTGTTGATCCAGCCTCAGTAGCATAGGGCAGCCTATGGAGGACTTGATATGACATCAACAATATTTCTAAATAGGATGGGGTCAGAAGCATGATATCATAAATCTCTTCTCTCTTTCCATGGCGCTCTGTGCACACGTAGGCCTACATGTCTTTACGCAGAACATTCACACATCTATACAAAATACTAGACTCCTGTCAATTGTATCGTTGCATGTGTTTGAGGCAGATTCTCAAAATCCGCCGTTGGTATAGCATTATGGGAGGACTTAACGTTTTGTAATCGGACGAGGGGCGCTCAATGAAAATGGGAATGGATTGCCTACGTGAAGAAGTGAATTTAGGTATGCAGGTATGTTTATTGTGAATATTTGTCTAATGGCCAGTATAAAAAAAGATGCACCTATGTGATGCTGCTAAACCAGGCTTGATTAAGGGAGGGGAGGCAATGATGGCTTTTTAATCACATTAAACGAAATGGGGGAAACCAATCGTTTTTTAAATGTTTCTAATTTGAGAAAAGGCGCATCTCTCTTCCATGGTCAGAGCTAGATAGGCTGTGCTTCCACTCTCACAATCCATGCCATTATCAAATGCGTTATCGTTAAGACCTCTTAAAACTCCCCATTAGCTCTGCATGAAATTGACACCTTTGAGTTTGTTTTTAAAGACACACCTCAAATATTGCCACCCCTCCCACCTCAGCACAAGCGAGGTGATGTTAGACAGGTAAATTGCCGAACCTGGCGTTAGGGCTGGAAAATGCCAGTGTGCCAGTTTTTACTTGATGAAATTGCTACATAACGTGCTGATGAGCCCACAGAGAGATGCTTCAGTCAGGAATGCTCCCGATGACCTCACATAGGGTCAGAGAGAGAGAGAGAGAGAGAGAGAGAGAGAGAGAGAGAGAGAGGGAGAGAGAGAGAGAGGGGGGGGGAGAGAGAGAGAGAGGGAGAGAGAGAGAGACAGAGAGAGAGAGAGAGAGCCCAGAAGAATGTGGCTATCTGATGGTCTCAGTGCCAGAGAGCCAGAGAGCATGACCCAATGGAACAATGTGATGTCAACAGAGGACCTACCAGTTGACATGAATAGGAGAGCTATGGCTTGCCATCATCTGGCACGTTAACATAAGCAAATAAGCAACAGAACCAGGATTCGTATGATGCTTCAAAGTTTGAAACGTCACAAAATCAAACATTGAACTTCTTTATCTTCTGATTATCTTCTTCTGATATCTTCTGGTTTGCAATAGTTCATAGTAGGCAGAAAACTGAAATCTCCAGTCCCTTTAGGAATGTAGTCAGTAGCACTATACAACAACAGAGAGCTCTTGGTCAGTACTGCTACAACTAAGTCAGCTCTACATCAGTACTACATAAGTACTTCCTCAGTACTGGTAAAACATGCTACATACTGCTACAGCTATATGAACTCCACATCAGTACTGTAAAACATGCTACATACTGCTACACCTTTAGGAACTCCACATCAGTACTGTAAAACATGCTACATACTGCTACACCTTTAGGAACTCCACATCAGTACTGTAAAACATGCTACATACTGCTACACCTTTAGGAACTCCACATCAGTACTGTAAAACATGCTACATACTGCTACACCTATATGAACTCCACATCAGTACTGTAAAACATGCTACATACTGCTACACCTATATGAACTCCACATCAGTACTGTAAAACATGCTACATACTGCTACACCTATATGAACTCCACATCAGTACTGTACAACATGCTACATACTGCCTACAAGTAAATCAGCACTACATCAGCTCTACATAAGTACTACACCTGTACTGTAAAACATGCCACAACTACATCAGCTCTACATCAGCACTGTACAACATGCTACATACTCCTACAACTACATCAACACTACATCAGCTCTACATCAACACTACATCAGCTCTACATCAACACTACATCAGCTCTACATCAACACTACATTAGCCCTACATCAACACTACATCAGCCCTAGATCAGCACTACATCAGTACTGTATAATATGTTACATACTCCTAAAACTACGTCAGCCCTACATCAATTCTACATCAGCTCTACATTAACACTACATGAATACTACATCATCACCATACAACATGCTACATACAGCAACACTACATCAACACTACCTCAGTACTGTATAATATGTTACATACTCCTAAAACTACATCAGCCCTATCAGCTCTACATCAGCCCTATCAGCTCTACATCAGCCCTATCAGCTCTATATCAGCCCTATCAGCTCTACATCAGCCATATCAGCTCTACATCAGCCCTATCAGCTCTACATCAGCCCTATCAGCTCTACATCAGCCCTATCAGCTCTACATCAGCCCTATCAGCTCTACATCAGCCCTATCAGCTCTACATCAGCACTACATCAGCTGTATATCAGTACTGTAAAATATGCTACATACTGCTACGCCTACATAAGCGCTACATCATTACTACATTAACACTATATCAACACTACATCAGCTCTACATCAGCTCTACATCAACACTACATCAGCTCTACATCAGCTCTTTATCAACACTACCTTTAGCTCTACATCAACACTACATCAGCTCTACATCAGCTCTGTATCAACACTACTTCAGCTCTACATCAAAACTAATCAGCATATCAACACACATCAGCTCTAATCACTCTTATTTCAAAACTATTCAGCTACTACATACAACACTACAATCAGCTCTACATCAGCTCTTATCAACATACTTCAGTTCTACATCAACACTACATCAGCTCTACATCAACACTACATCAGCTCTACATCAACACTACATCAGCTCTACATCAGCTCTTTATCAACACTATTTCAGCTCTACATCAACACTACATCAGCTCTACATCAGCTCTACATCAAAACTACATCAGCAATACATCAACACTACATCAGCTCTACATCAACACTACATCAGCTCTACATCAACACTACATCAGCTCTACATCAGCTCTACATCAGCTCTATATCAACACTACATCAGCTCTATATCAGCACTACATCAGCTCAATATCAGCACTACATCAGCTCTACATCAACACTACATCAGCTCTATATAAACACTACATCATCTCTACATCAACACTACATCAGCTCTATACCAGCACTACATCAGCTCTACATCAACACTACATCAGCTCTATATCAACACTACATCAGCTCTACATCAACACTACATCAGCACTACATCAACACTACATCAGCACTACATCAACACTACATCAACACTACATCAGCTCTATATCAACACTACATCAGCTCTATATCAGCACTACATCAGCTCTATATCAGCACTACATCAGCTCTACATCAGCAATACATCATCACTACATCAACACTACATCAGCACTACATCAACACTACATCAGCACTACATCAACACTACATCAACACTACATCAGCTCTATATCAGCACTACATCAGCTCTATATCAACACTACATCAGCTCTACATCAACACTACATCAGCTCTACATCAACACTACATCAGCACTACATCAACACTACATCAACACTACATCAGCTCTATATCAACACTACATCAGCTCTATATCAGCACTACATCAGCTCTACATCAGCAATACATCATCACTACATAAGTACCACATCAAAACTACATCAACAAA